GCAACTATAACAGCGATTACACACAACATTGTTCAGTGACCTAGCTAGACGATTTACGCCAGCAACTATAACAACGATTATGCGCAAGATATTTCAGTGATCTTGCTAGACAAATTAAGGCAGCAACTGAAACAACGATTACAGGCAGGATTTTTCAGRGATTTTGCTRGWCGATTTACGCCGGCAACTATAACAACGATTATGCGCAAGATATTTCAGTGATGTTGCTAGACGGTTTACGGCAGTAACTGTGACAACGATCACACGCAAGATTTTTCAGTGATCTTGCTAGACGAGTTTCGCCAGCAACTAAAACATGGTTTACGGCAGCAACTATATAACAAAGTTATACGCAAGATATTTCAGTGATCTTCCTAGACGGTTTACGGCAGCAACTGTAACAACGATTACACCCGAGATTTTTCAGTGATCTTGCGAGACGATTTATGCCTGCAACTATAACAACGATTACATGCAAGCTATGTTAATGATTTTGTTAGACGATTTACGCCAGCAACCGTAACAACGATCACATGCAATCTATATCAGTGATCTTGCATTGCTAGACGACAAGACGATTTACGCCAACAACCGTAACAACGATCACACGCTAGCTTTGTCAGTGATCTTGTTAGACAATTTACGCCAGCAAACGTATCAGCGATCACACGCAGTTTTGCTAAGTGATCTTTCATCGCTAAACGATTTGCGTGAGCAACCATAACAGCGATCACACGCAAGCGATTCCAGTGATCTTGTTATACGATTCACGCCGGCAACCGAGGCAGCGATCACACGCAATCTATATCAGTGATCTTGCATTGCTAGACGATGTACGCCAGCAACCGTAACAACGATCACACGCTAGCTATGTCAGTGATCTTGTTAGACGATTTACGCCACCAACCTTAACAACGATCACACGCATTCTGTATCAGTGATCTCGCATTGCTAGACGATTTACACCAGCAACCGCAACAACGATCACACGCTACCTAGGTCAGTGATCTTGTTGGATGATTCACGCCAGCAACCGTAACAACGATCATACCCATTTTATTTCAGTGATCTTGCATTGCTAGACGATCTACGTGAGCAACCATAACAACGATCACACGCAAGCGATTCCAGTGATCTTGTTATACGATTCACGCCGGCAACAGCGATCACAGTCAATCTATTTCATTGATCTTTTTGGACGATTTACGCCAGAAAGGGTAACAACGATCACACGCAAGTTATTTCAGTGATCGTGCTAGACGATTTACGCCAGCAACCATAACAACGATCACACGAAAGCTACATCAGCGATCTTGTTAGACGATTGTCTCGAGCTTCTATAGCGATGATAACACGCGCACGAGCGAGTTTTTTCTAGGGGTCTTGTTAGACCTTAATAGCACCAAAAGCTTATTGGCAAACTAACGCCAATGTTTTGAGTCAGTCTGTCAGACGACATACGATAGCAAGTTTATTTGCATCAGGCGGGATGTTCTGTGAAAGCAATGCCAATGTCGATTAAACGCTAGCTATCCAGAGAGACGATCTACGCTAGCAACACTAAAATCGATCACAAGCTAGCCATCCCAAGTGATCTTAAGAGACGTTCTAGAGCAGCAACGCCAATAGGCTAGTCATTATGTCGCGCACGCCCTTACGATGGAGTCTCCCAGACAATTTACGCAAAACAGGTTATTATCATACATACGCTATCTGAGTCGTCATGCTGATGTCCTAAGTAAACAASGACAATATAGATCACACGCTCTAGCTATCCCGATTAAAGTTGTCAGACGATATATGACAGCAACGCTAATAACGATCGCACGCGCTAGCCTTTCCGTGGACGTTATCAGACGATCTAGAGCAGCAACGCTTTAACGATCACACGGTCTAGCTATTATGAGTGATCGGTCAGACGATCTATATCAGCACGGCTAGTAGCGATCCCCATCACACCCGTTTGCTATCACGATTGATTTCATACAATTTACAGCAGCAACGCCTTTAACGATTACACGCTCTAGCTATCCCGATTGATTGGTCAGACGATCTACAACAATGCTAATAACGATCACGCGCTAGCTATCCCGATTGATTGGTCAGACGATCTACAGCAGCAACGCTAATAACGATCACGCGCTAGCTATCCCGATTGATTGGTCAGACGATCTACAGCAGCAACGCTNTACAAAAAACGGGATAAGTATAGGTTAATAGGGTTCTTTCCTTTAAACATTGCATCAAAAATTGTTAAATTATAAAGTGTTGTTTATATGACCTTTTTAAATCTCACGAAATTTGCATATTTTGAATGAGCTACACGCTTTTACAGCGTGAAGTCGGGATAGCTATTTTTGAAAATTGAGAAAGACAGAATATCACTCCTGGATCGATATTTCTAGTGTTTTGATGTCGTTGCGACAAGCCACCAGAAAAGAATATCGCGGTGCGTGAATAAACAAACTAGATAAGGTATTCTGCGCCATAAATTACTTTCATATATAATTATATGACTGACAGAATATTACATGTTTTTTTAGATACGAATTTTATCTTATCGTGCCCGAACTCTTTCGCTCTTCACGTATTCGCAAATCCAAGTAATTTCTCAATTTTCCAAAATAGCTAGCCCGACTTCACGCTCCAAGAGCGTCTAGTTCATGTTAAACTGAAGCACGCAATTTCAAGAAATTTTGATGAGCTGTTATGGATAATGTAATGAGCTCGGTCCGCCATTCGCCAATAAATCTGTTTATATATTGTGYATTTAGCTAAGACCCAATAACACAAAGAAAAGTCACTATAAAGCTATCTATATAAGTAAAATCAATTTATCCCAATTTCAAATAGTAACGACGACAAATAAAGATTGCACGCCATCTGGCTAACTTTTTGTATTGACATTTAAAATATATAAYACAAGTAAATGATCTTTAAATTTAAACTGATTTCAAGAACTTTTCAACGAATCATTGAAAAATTAAGCTATAGAAAATTGTAGAAATTCAAGTTTTTGTATTTTGTGACGCCCTGCGCCACTCCAATTCAAAGTCATACATATRAAATATAAAAGCAATCGATACGTGTTCGGTAGCTGCTTAATCAAGACGTCGATCGATGCCTTTCCGTGAACAAACGAAGCAAAGCTCTCGACTATATGTCTGTATGTAACATTCCTAAAAACATCTAATATATACACAAACTATAAATAACATGGGCTCGAAATTAAGATAAGAACTTGTGAAGCAATGCAACAATATTATAGTAACATTTTTTTAGGAACCAGGAGAAAGCAGTTTTTTTTTTCAACAATACCTGACGAAATCGTTCGAAAATCATCTCGAACGGAATAAAGCTTTGATTTTTTAAACATTATATGAGAACATTCTTATACATTATACATTCTTATAACCTTATGCACYCATTCGTAGTGAATGTCGCAAAAACGTTACTTTCCTTCAAACATTCCRATTTGTACCGAGCGAGTATAAAATAGAAGAGCTCTTTAACATGCGGTCATAAAAATCACCTCGTCATTACGACCACTGTCCGTAATAATGAAGTTCAAAAGCTTATTGATAATATACTACAGTATAGGACCTTTTGGTAGAGGTACCCAACTATCCTACAATTTTTCTTTCAAAGTGGTTCACTTTGCTGTGAAGTCTTTCGTAGGAAAACAATGAAATTTATTTTTAAACGTTTTAACGCTTTGATATGGACACCAGCCACCCCTGCAAAACTTGGTCACGTTGACGAATGATTGGTAGTATACCGTGGAACACTTTCCGTCAATAGCAAAGACTTGTGGTCCTCCGACCTGCTTCCGAGGATCGATGCCAAGGGTRTTACGTAGCTTGACAGTGCCATAGGAACATCGGTAAAGATTGAGGTAGTAATGGACTCTTGTGATATTGACTATGGAAAAAATCAACCAGTTTAACAAGGGCGTGTCATTTGTACTATTACACGACAAACTGCGATGTTGGGGGGTGTCTTTGGATACCTGCAGCTTCATTGATGCATTACTGTCCTGAAATACTCAAGTGATAAATCTAGTGCAATAACGTGCTAAAAGATTCATCTTTGGAAGAATTAGCCCGGAGTTTTGTGCATGCTATTTGAAATTGGAAAAAGACTCAAATTGACACGGCCTTCCATACCGCGGAGTACCGGCTGTACGCGGAGTATCTAAAACAACTAACGAAGGGTAAATGAGTGAAAAATAGAATGATAGAATTAGACGCTGTACTGAATGCATGAACGATTGAAAATACTTACAAACTGTTGTGCTCAGTGGAGACACATCATCCAACGCTGGTTTGACTTTTTCTTTTAGTTTGTCAAACGAAGCAAATTCAACGCCTTTAACAAAGTAAGACTACAAGGACAATAAAAGACTTTATTTATTTATTTATTTATTTATTTTTTCGGATAAAAACTAAAAAATAATCAATGTTACGGTAGAGAAAACAATAGAGGCCAAAAAAGTTTATTAGTCTAGAGACTATTACGCACTGCCCTCTCAAAACAAAGACTTAACATATAATTATATAGTCTGTTACCTGATCTTTTGACAATCCAATAAACTTATAAGTAGCCCAATGTCCGTCCATACTCCCTGCTTTGCAGATCGCCTCCCTTAGGGCTGACCCAGGGTAGAACAGCTCAAAGGCCAAAACAGACAATCCAAAAAGCAAAAACACCAGCGTTCCCATCGACAAGCATAGCACTGAATATAAGCAACATACGTTACATCGATTAGATTGCCGACCTCTTCTATTCCATCTGATTTTTTAAGACACTACATTTACGATAGGGATCTTTTCATGGCACAAATGCATGCAAATCTTATCTTTATCTCTTAAAAGTTGAGACCAAATTCTACTCGTATGAAGTAGGACAAGATTTATTTTGTTGGAAACTAGCGGTAAACTAGTGTGAGCTGTGTCGGTTTTTTTAAAGGCCAGTTTAAAGTTGCGATTTTTGAAGGGCGACTGTCGCGCACTGAAAATCGCAAGTGTAACCGGGCTTTCAACAAAACGTTCAGTGCAAAAACATATATTTAGCACCGTAAAAAAGTAAGTGAAACAACTTATTGACGTTCGTTGGAGTAAAGACAAGATATATTTTTGCTAGAAGACAATTATCTTGCTCACCTCGTCTTGCGCGCTTTCGCTCTTCCTTCAACTTGTCATTCAGCGTCATTTCGACATTGTCATACATGGTTTCTATTTCCATCGTCACTTGTTTGTCTGTTATTCCCATCACGATGCACACAAAACACTACAAAATAAATATAAATGATATTTATCTTAGCCTTGAAAATATCTGAGCACGTTTTTCAACATGAGAAAAGCTAAAGATCAAAGCCATCATTCTTTTATGTAGTGGATGGACCTTCTACATATATTATGCACGTT